TCGTACCTACATTCCTAAACCACAAATGGAGGAAGAAAAATCCATGAGGCTTCTTAGATATTGATCCCTTTCTATATTTCTGGTAATGTTCGTGCATTCTTGGGTACATTTCTCGAACCTTCTAAAAACCTGAACATCTAAAGAAGTTTTCCCCTTGCTACCATCACTAAAAACCTCAGATGTTTGTAGATAAAAACTATGACCCATGGTTCATGAGTGCACCTCATTGTGTCTTATGTTCCTCCCCTACTACTAAAAATGAGGCTTGCATCCATTGGTTAGACAAAGTAAAGAAACAATTCTATAAAGACCAAGGTACATATGACTTGATCCAATTGTCCAGAGTTGGCCCCAAATACAACGCCAACATGTTTATTTCATCCCCTTTCTCTTGGGAAGGCTTGAATAACACCTTTCACCTTTGTTGTGGAATGGTGACTCCTACCCTCTTCGACGCTGGTTCTAATACTGGCTTTCGACCCACCAGGGGAAACCTTTGACCTTACCCTCGTGACTAGAACCAAACCAAACTTCTCTTTTATCTGCCCAAACTATAGTATTTTCATCGAAGATCACTATGAGGACCATCATGAGGAAGTCTTTGACCACAAACATATTGTTTTCCTCACTTTTTGGCTATCCTATTTTGTTTTCTGCTCTAGCTCCTTGCAAGTGGCCAAGAAGTTCATTCCTCTGGACACTCAGATTCATGAGGGGTGGAACATATGTCTGAGAAAACTAATTTTAGGCTCCCTATATGAAGCTTTTGGGCTTTCTTTGTTTGACCTAAAATCCATAATGACTCAGATCAAAAGTTTTTTTTATCTCTGACTCAATGTGGCTTTCACAATTATGGCTTAATGCCACTTTTGAACCTTCCTTGAAACTTACCATCCCTTCAAACTTAACAAAACAGATTGAAGTAAGACGATTCTAAGCCATTAGCCTTATTCTACTTACCCTATAAGATATCAGCCTCTCAACTGATGAAACCTTCAATAAATACTTCCTTGTGTATGTAAATTTTGTTACCTTTGATTCTTCTATTGCTCTTTTTGTTAGTCGAAGTCATAGTCAAAACCATTTGAAGAGAGAGTTTCCACCTCTTTCTTCTTAACAACATTATGAGGCTCTCGACAACTTTTCTTAAGCCTACCATTCTTTCGACCAAAATTTCGTTAGGAAAATGTAGCTTGGAATTTGTTAGTTAACAACCTAACTTAGTGGCCAGACAATTTGGCTTCAACCAACTTCTATCAATATCCTTTTTCCTTAATAGGGTTGAAATCCTCAACGCCGCTACTGAACTGTCAAAAAAAGAATATCATACATGTCTAGACTTCCTTGCCAAAAAATTCACTACTTTAACCCCTTTTAAGTTTCAAGCTTCTTATTTCCCAGAGTCGAAAGAGAGGAAGTAGTGCCACCACTACCACCCAAAAAAGAAATCCAAGAAAGACGAAGCCTTTATTGCTCTCGATAGTGAAAAAACACAAGTCTTACTTATTCTCTAACTCTCATATATTTCCACACACTCATTCTTTATTATATTAACATTTATCCTTGATCTAGTCTGAGTCAGGGGCTCAAAATAAAAATAAAAAAGTCTAACCTGCTGTCGAGAGTAATAAAAGCTTGGCTTCTACTCAACCTGCTCCTACTAAGCATCATAAGGACTTGGCATAGGAAATTCTCAAGAAGAATAATTCGGTGGTACTTTAAATTTCAATTTATCTCTTACAACCTCCTTATATCGTTCGATTGTTTTCCCTACATGAGAATTATAATTCTGTTGTACTTCATACAATGAACGTTGTTTTGAGCATTCACTGGTCGATTTATTTAGTAAGAAGTTTTCCATCAATCCAACCAATAACAATTGTTAATTCGGTTGAAGGGGCAATTACTGATCATCCAGAAAAGATATTCAAGCAAATCATTGTTGTCGCGGTGAAATTTTGATACCAAACTATTGATTAGTTTGAATCGTTAATTCAATTTGCAACCGATCTTTGATTTGTCCAAAGGAAGGGATAAATATCGAAATTCCCACAATGCAATGCAAATGCAAGGTTTAGATTGTTTAGGTTCGGAGGTTGGTTAAACTTAGGGAAGGTACTAGCATCCTAAGTTTCTGTAGTATCCTACAGGAACCTCTTGTTTTATATTTGTTTATTGCTAAGGGTTTATCTGCTTAAGGGATTAAGGACCCTAGTGGTTTATTTCTAAGTATACTCGATAAGATGTCGCATCTTATACCTACATATCCTTACGGGAGTGGAATCAGAGTACTTGTAGTTCCCCTAAAGGGTTAGAGGAGCTCTTTGACTGTGGTCAAAGTTCCTACGGGTTTATGGTAATTGTTTTGATTGGGTTTAGGAGAAGAGATGAGTCTTCATGTTAAGGGAGATGTAACCACCACAAGTGTAAAGGGGGTTGTAGGAAAATAGTCTTTGCATCGTCTTAAGAAAAGGGCTTAGGTACTCGGATTGTTTGACGAGTATGCCTTTATCACTCTTAAGGCAAAGTCCTTACATGTATGATTGTATTGTTGCGGGGGTGGAGATTGTATCTCACTTAAGATGATTAACATCTATTCTCTATTGTGTTTGAAAAAGTTGTATAGTGTTGTTTGTTTGTCTAAGTTGTAGAGATAATGGTCCTTCCTATGGGGTAGGATCTATCTTAAGCGATCAACTTGAATGGAATCAAGGATCGTGGGGAAATGATGCAAATGACGTGCACTACGCACAAGTGTTGACTCATGTGTAGGTTTTTCCTTTGGACGAAATGCGATGCGATAATGTAAATGCGGTAATGTAAATTGCGGAAAGAAAATAAAAGTAGATAAGTAAACACATACGTACGCATGAAAGCGCTAATTTGTGAAAGTGAATGTGTCGTGAAGTGCACGATTAGATGTTGATTTATTTTATTTGAGTTGATTGTTTTTAGGCGAGAAGTTAGATTGGCTTATGAGAAAATTGATTTCGTTTTGAATAAAATGTTGTTTTGAGCAAGTTGATTTTAAGAAAGTTACTTAGAAGTTATATTATTTGTGAAAGTGATTTGAATTATATTTTTTTAGTAAATTTAAGGTTACACAATAGGTTTTGAAAATAATGAAAGGGGTGCTTATTAGATAAGTTGGTTTTTGATTATAAAAGATGTTTTATTAAAAGATTTTAACCACTTATAAACTTAAGTTATTTATTTTAAATTAAAAGAATTCAATTAAATAAAAGTTATTTATATTTTTATTAAAAATAAAAAGGCAGAAAATTGATTTAGATAAAAAAAACTTATTTAGAAAATAATTTAAATATTTCATTAATTAATTAAAAAAACAGTTTAATTAAAAAGTTGATTAGGGTTGATTTTATGAAAATATTGTTATCAGTTTTAATATAAGTTGATCTTATTGATATAAATTAAGTTTTAAATTTAAAATAAAATGTTACAATAGTTTAATTATAAAAACCTAAGTGAAATGATTACTTAAATGATATTAGTTTGTTAAAATAATATAAAAGAATTATTTGTATTTCTAAAATATTTTAATATCTAATTAAATAAAAGGCAATTGGAATAGATTATTTATAAATGTTTATTAAGTCTATAAAAGATCTAAAGTTAATTTGATTAAAAAAACTTGATTTATTAATAGGTTGATTTGAAAGAGTTTACCAGTTTGATTTGGATTAAAAATTATATTTATAAAATTGATTAGAATTGGTTAATTAATCTATTAATTATTTAAATAAAATAAATTAAAGATTATGTTTTAATTAAGGTTGATGGGAGACGAATAGTTAGTATTGGTAAAAACGATTAGCTGGTAGCTTAGTGTGTGGTTAGTGGTGATTAGTGAGTGATTAAGCATTACAACAAAATAATAAGAATAATAAAAAAAAAAACAAAAAAAAACCCTAATTCCCAGGATCGGCCCCAAATTCCCCTGCGTCTCCCTCGTTTCTCATCTTCGTTTTCCTCTCCTCTCCGATCTTGCTTCTGCTCTTCTTTCTGCCTTACTTGATTCTCTCCGTTCTCTTTCCTGAAATCTCAAAAAAACAAGTCAAACAAGACAACATGTCTTACAAGACATAACTTACCGTGCGATGGTGTTTGTGGGTCTCCGGCGGGACGATTCTCGAAGTGGTTTTCAGAGATGGATTTCAACGATGCTTCGTGGGGGTGAAAGGCTTCGGAGGCGGTAGATCGCAGAGTTTTGTGGCGAGCGGCGAACTGGGGTTCGCGACGGAGTTGTTGCGAGGTTTCACGGCGATGGCGGTGAGGGTTTTGGGTCGCGATTCCGCGGTGGATTCAAAAAAAGATAAGTTTATCCCTTCTTTGATTTGTTAGGAGGTTTCGATTTGGGATTTCTTTTGGGATGTTCAAATGTACTTTTCATCTCAGTTTTTTTCTCTTTTATAGGTGGTTTTGGTTTCAAATCCTTAAAGTGTTTTCCTATTCCGTCAAATGCTGTTTTGAAAGAGTTATGGATGTCGGGATTTTGTGGTAAATGGTGTTTCCATTCTTGCTGATTAATGTCGGGTACGATTTCTGATTCTTTCCTTTCTGATCCAACATGATTAATTGGGTTTTGGATTTACTTGATTGTTTTCCCCTTTTTATTGATTTTCAGTTGCTGATACAGATCTTGAATTAACTCTTCAGGATTATGTGTAGAATCTATTTTTGGCAAGAAAAGAACAATTTTTTCTGCTGAGGATGCGTTCCGTTTGACAAAGCCGTGTACGCTCTAGGAAGCAATGGTTTTTGAAAATGCTGTTGTGATAGTTTATTGTGCATTTTGCAGGGATCATGTTGGCTAGTCTTCTTCCCAGTTGACCCTCCATGCCATTCAAAGTCATTGTAATTTCTTTTAATTGTTGTTCAAACTTTAGCCTTCTTATGAAACAGGTCAGTTGTAAATCTCCTGCTGCCTAGAAGGAAGCTGGGAATCAAGGTAGTCATAGTTTAAATGTGATTGACAAGAACTATGAGTTACAACCAAAATGGCTTCCGTTTTTTGACCTGAGATCCGGCATGTCTCGTTCCAACTTATTTATTTCCTCCATTATCTCCCTGAGTACATTATGATATGGTGAAATGGTGTTTTGATTGAAAGAAAATATGGCTGAATGTCTCACCATAATAACTGCAGGTCGGAGCAGCAATGAGCCCAACTTGCTCTTTGGATTGGCAGGGTTTTCAAATTGATTGAGTATAAAACTATTAGGCGTCTTCGCTAATAGCTCGTCCGCTTTCTCAAAAACACCATCAACTCCTTTAGCAGGATCTGTCAAATATACATCTGCTCCGAAAGCTCGCATAATAATTTTTCTCTCAAGGCTCGCATAAGACGGTATAGTCGCTAAAAGCTTATAGCCTCTCAGTGCTGCTATCGACGCCAATCCTATGTCGGTGTTACCACTTGTAGGCTCAATAAGAACAGTCTTTCCAGGAGTAATTAGGCCTTTGTTTTCAGCATCTTCAATCATGCTTAACGATATTCTATCTTTAACACTGCAGCAGGATTGCAAGTATTCTAGCTTAGCAGCGATTCGAGCAACACAGCCTTCAGTAATGTTGTTAAGATGTACCAATGGAGTATTCCCTATTAATTCAGTAGCGTCTTTCTTGATTGCAAACTGTGTCTCCATGATATCTGATGAAGAAATCCTGCAAAAGCTTGATTCTAACATGGTGTGCAGCTAGAGCGAAACTGAGGTGGAACCAATGAATCCAGGCTTCGAACTTCTTCGTGGGAAATGCGTTTGCCACCGTTCACAATCCTGGAGCGGGGGAAAAGGGATACCTTTCTTTTCATGATACGGTAACCTTCTTCTCATCTCAAACGTCTTTAATTCTTGTGGATGTTTTCCATTTTCTAACTTGATTGTGTCAGTCCTGTGTTTCTTTTTTTTTTAGGAAAGGGCATCCACCGTCTGCCGTACTTGGGAAGGTCTGCTCACGGCGAAACCGCGCGGGCTTCCTGGATTTGTGGCATGTCAATCTTTTATTTGAACTTGCAAACTGAATGAACCTTGATCCTTGTATTCCATCTAACGGTCTTCTTCTTAGACTTGCAGGTTTGACAGTTTTAGGCCTTCATGAAGTGCACCTAAAGTTGACGTACCGTGGCGGTTTGGTTGGTAGTGCGAAGTAGCAGCAACAACTTGGAGATAGAAACTGACAGTATGGCATAAGATTAGCGTAATGTGAAAGATGAACTTGAGGATACATCTGTGCAACTTGAGGTTGTTGTTGCTGTTGTTGCATCATAGCAATTGTGGATGTGGGAACATTGTCTGCAGCATGGGAGTTTAAAACCTCCTGATGTGGTGAAAGAAATACTTGGAGTTGAATTGTATTTGCGCCTGATAATGCCTTTGTTCTGTGGATTTTTCTAAATACTTTGATTTGTTGCAGGTAAAACAACTCCAAAACACCTTTTATTCGTTGGTAAGCATGTTGTCACCTCCTGCTGGGATAAGTCTAGTAATGCATGGTTGTTGGTATCGGTTTGCGGAGGATCTTGCTGGCCACGTTAATTGCGCCCTGGGAGCTATAGTTATAAACATCCCTTCTTCTTTTGTATCTTTTAACCGGCGTTGCATTTACTGGCGCCCTGTCACCATTCACGTGCACGACTGTTCTGGCAGCGGTTTCATCACTTGACCAGGTTTGGCACAGATGGCCTCGAGGCTTAGCATTAGGAGTTTGAAATTGGAGACCTTACTTTGCATTCTGAAGGATGTTGAAAATCTTCTTTCAACTGAACCTTTGGGATTTACTTTGTAAAATTGGATTATAAACTTCATTTGAGTGGTCTTGGATTTTGTACCCTTTGGATGAGATTTTCACTTAAATAAATCATCTCTTGAACTAGGATGAGATTTGGTATTAAACTTGGATTTTTGTTTCGAACAAAGATGGAGCTCAAATAAATCACTCTTGAGTTTCAAAATGGTTGAACAAAATTGATCCAACTTACGACTTACCACAGATACCTTGGACTTAATAGATGTTAGTGTCGCTTGCGCGAAAATAAGGTGCCGGCATGACAGAAGAGTCGCCACCTTTCGTTATTTATCCCTCAGAGCGGGAAAGGAAACGATCGGAAAAACCTGACGAAAAAGGGTAAGACAAGGTCATCGCAACCATTGTCTGGGTTCGGGAGTCGGTTACGCAAGGGGAAGGTATTAGCACCCCTCACGTCCGTCGTACTCGACGGGATCCTCGCTTGTTTGTTTACTTGGACGGGTTGGTTATAATCTATCTACCTATCAAGGCTGGCTGAAAAAGAAAAGAAAAAATGACTCGGCAAAGCGTCGCACTTTATGCCTACGTATTCTCATCAGAGAATGAGAAATCAGAGTCAACGTAGTTCGGCCTACGAAGGATTATGGGGGAAAGGTTGCTCGCTAGGATATCGCATCCTATGCCTACGTACTTTCATCTGGTATGAAAGATCAGAGCAAACGTAGTTCGGGAAACTACGGGAAAAAAATGGCTCAACTAGGAGGGAGACTATCAAGTCCTACTGTTATCATGCCATGAATTCATCCTATGGTTGAAGTTTGAACAGGGAACTCCTAGAAGTTATCATGCATAGGTTTCAACCTAAAAGTCTATCATCAAATCCTCATCCGAGGAAATGAGAGTCCTAAGGGATCATGTCAATGGTACACCAAAACAGACAAAAGCATCAGCTTTAACAGAAAAATGCATGCAATGCGAGTGAGGGAGGAAATGTGTGTGGGGTTTCAGCCTCCACAAGCTCATCTCGACCTCAAGCCAGTCATGAAATAACAGTAATCATACTGAAGATAAACAACATACTATCAAGCAATGAACCAGATAAAGGAAATGAAGTGCCAACAGGCAAACAAACACACATGCTTGAGAAAGAAAGAATCTACTCTCTAATCCTAACCCTAATCACAGAATCTGAATCAAATCTAAGCAAAGCAAAACCCTAAACAAGAGAATTCAATCCCAGTCTTCAAGCTTCAGAACAAGCTTACCAAAGACAGGGAGCTAAGCAAGCAGACTCATAGTGTCTTCCTCAGGAGAACACTAGGAGGTGTATACTCAGGAGTCATACCCTATGTGGCTCAACCACTGTGATCAGTTTATATTCCTCCTCAGGAGAAATTAAACTCACAAGCAGGCTCCAACATCACTGGATATTTAGGAAATCCTATCTGAACTAGTGGAGCTAAGTGAATAGACCCGTAGGACCTTCCTCAGGAAAGTACTAGGAGGCTTCCACTTAGGAGTTGTATCCTATGTGGCTCAACAACTGTGATCAGTTTACATTCCTCCTCAGGAGAAATTAAACTCACAAGTTGGCTCCAACATCATTGGATACTTGAGAAATCCTAGACAAACTAATGGAACTAAGTGAATAGACCCATAGGACCTTCCTCAGGAAAGTACTAGGAGGCTTCTACTTAGGAATTGTATCCCATGTGGCTCAACAACATGTGATCAGTTTACATCCCTCCTCAGGAGAAATTAAACTCACAAGTTGGCTCCAACATCATTGGATACTTAAGAAAGAGGTGAGAAGAAAGAATGAAGGTCATTCATAGTGCCTTCCTCAGGAAAGTACCATGAACTCCCTTCAAACTTCAGGATCTCAAACCTCACAGACAGGGAACAAGCCAAGCTCTGGGTCTCTGAATCTTGATCTACAATCTTCACTTCATGATGCTCTCCATCAAGGTCTTCAAGGCAACACAAGCCCCTCAACAAATTCCCCACAATGAACCCCAAAGATGAACAGATAACCACAGGAGAGTCAAAACCAACAGGCAACTTCAGAAAATACCTAAAAATACTAAACTAATGGGGAAAAAATCTAACAATTATTCACAAGGGTCTACAAAGTCTATCCATAACATCTACATAGGCCTATACCTAAAAATCAAGACAAAACTTATTCAAAGAAAGGAATTCATCACCTAAACACAAGCTAAACCCTAATTAGGATACCCTACATCTACCCTAATTAAACTAATCAAAATTTAATTCTAAAATTCTAGAAAAAATCCTATGGGGAACTATGATTCATCATCTAATTGCACAAAAAGAATGGATTAAAAACCCTAAGGGAAGGTCCTAAAACAATTCCTACAAAATCATGATATAAAACTAAACATTATAAAAGCTACTTAAAAGAAAAATCTATTAAAAATACTAAACTTAAAAATAAAATCCCATTTTTATTTTTATATTTTTCTACACAAAGTCATCTAATCATAGAAAAAAGAAGAAGTAAAAAATCATTTTTTATCAATTATTTATGAATTAATCAAAACAGAAAAAATAGAAGAAGAAAATAAAAGAATTAAAACAAATAAAGGGAGGGGGGTTGGAATAGCAACTCACGCTAGTTGGAAATACTGATGGGCCATGAGGGTGGGGGTGCGCGTATCAATTTGCTAAGGCCCATATTAAATCAGAAAAACAAAACTAAAAAGAGAACGCCTGGGGGGTGAGATAAGCAAGGGATTCACGCGTTATTGGGAGATTGGGCTTTTGGGGGGTTGGGAATAGCAATCAGATTTAGGCCCAGGATTTCACTTTAAGTGAAACGGGGCGTTTTGAAGTTTGAGTCTTCCCTCCGTTTTTCTATTTGAATCGTGGCCACACGATCGTTCCCCCCAGTCAATCCATTGACTTCCATCTAACGGCCACGAACCCTTCTTCAACCTTGGACCAAACCCTAACCTGCAAACCCCTCATCCATGCACGAACTTCTCCTTCTCTGCTCTCTCTACTCAGGCCACGAAACAACATGATTCCAAAACGAAAGTTGTGCTACTCAATGAGAGGAATAAAATGGCACGAGTAGTTTTTCTTAATTCTACCTAGGTTATTCTAACAGAGGCTTGCAATGTCACGATCCAAACCAAAATCACCTGAGATCAACCTCTATTAACCCTAACTCTAATGATCTACAGATGTTCTATATGTGAACATAACCGTGCTAAACCAATTCTTGATGATTTAAACTCCAAATTCAAACACTTCTTGAGAATCAAAGATTCTTGGTCCTGCTATGGAACTTCATGGAACAGGCTGCAACTCTCAGTATTTAGTCATCTACCCTAGCCTAGCCATTCTAAACCTAAAACATGATACATCTATGCATAATTAAGGTGGAAGAGAGAAGAAAAGGAACCTGTCAAGTGATGATGGTATGTGATGCTAGGGCACGATTCCAAGCTTGCAATTCACTCACAATGATCCTCCAATGGAGATATGCTTTCTGTTTGCAAGGATCTTGAAGAAGAAAGCTTGTAACAATGACTTTGAAACTGAAATGCAATGATGGAGCACCTTGAAACCCTAGCTCGAATCTCTCTCTTCTCTACTCAATTCACCAAGTTTCACCCACCTTGAACTCTCTTCATGGCATTCTCTTTATAATGATGGTTAGATGCTTCTAGATTCATCTAGAATGTGGTGGAAGTTTCTTGAAATTCTCATGTGATGACAAGTTGGTTATCTCATATCTCATATGTTATGCCTTGCAATTTAGTCTTAAAATATCCTTACATGAGTTATTGAGAAGGGATGAGTGAAAAACAAGTTCATCTTTGGCTTGTGTAGGGTTTTTCAACATTGCCTTCTTTTTCAAGTAACAACT